TGATTAAAATAATCGAAGAGAAACGTGTAAAGTGAAGAATAGCCGATTTGAGACTCGAAATTAGATAACTGATGTTTTGTGATGTGGCAACCGTGCAAAAACCAGCAGTCAAGCATAACCCAATAACGGTACCCAAGAAAATTACCAACCTCCACACTGTCGTTCAAATAAGCAAATGTTCGTTGGCTAATGGGTACAGGTCGCGAAATATGCTCAGCAATCAATATAGCCGCATCTCCACAAGTATGAACCATATTTCGGTCCTCTTTCGCTTTGCGCAACACCAGGCCAAGCAGTCCATGTCCCTAAAACCGTCAATATCTGTATTTGTAAAGCAAAAACGACCAAAAAGTACCTTATGAAGTGAGTTGCATAACCGAACCCACGATCGTACGGTCTTGGTCATTTTTTTCGCGCCGTATGCACTTGAAGACGGTGTGGCTACACCATCACCCTCAGCATCTTTCTTTGGACGACCACGCTTTTTCTTCGCCTTCCCTTCTGTTTCATAACCGGAAATCTCAGTATAATCCGGTAGTTCGAGTTGTATCGGCTCCGGCTCATCTATCTGCAAACAAAACAGGGGATATGAAGGATTTCTTGGCAAGAAAACAACTATATTTACCGTTATCTCATCCTGTAAGTTGTCGATGAGAGGCCTGCCATTATTTCGCAACCTTCTCCATTTCCAATACTCGAAAACATCCGATACAAATAGAAGATCAAGTGAAAGCCTACGAAAAAAACATTAAGGACCCAAATATCGATTTTCGAGAAAAACTACCTCTTCGCAACGTCCTTATAATCAACAAAAACGTAGCAAGTCTGCTCTAGACTTGCCAATGGACCAGAGCTAGGCTGCACCTCGGTCTCCTCATCTGATCCGGTCACCTTGAACACTAACATTACACAGTTCTTTCGAATCACATAATATGGCAGGTACCTGGCTGAGATCACGGATAGCCTCATCCGGTTCGAAATTTTTAGCCGATCGATGTTTGGAGCAAAGCGATATCATGTGCACTTTGTCATCGTCAGTGTCCTCAAAAATCAACATAGCACTACAAATTGCTAGCAAAGTGGACACACCTGTTCGATGCGCATCTCCAATCCACTTCGCAATGCACATGTGACGTGAAAGAAGGTCTTGCAAGTGCTTACTGAGCACTTTATGCATGCTCCTTGCCGAGTGTCACAAATGCAGCACCTAAAACAATAGCGTGATGCTGGAACTATCCTGAATTTCCTTGATGTCAAGAAAATGTTGATTATGATCGCAAACAAAGCAAAAAACTCACTTCGCCGTCCATCTTTCTTCTTGTATTTCATCAATGCACATTATAGGCTCGCGTTTTTCGATATCTCCAAACCTGAAAAAGGAAAAACACTGTGACACGTCCCAGAAATCCTAGAGACTGCCAGAGATTTCAAAATTGGAATGATACAAAAATTAGAAGCAAAACGGAAATCATTCACTGGATTCATATATCAAATTGTAAAAAAAATTCACAGTACGAGACGAAGAAGCACTTACCGACATTCGTGTATCCACAACGCACAAACCACATGTGCCCATTGATTCTTCTTATCGGTGCATTTTAGTGCGCCACCGATGGTAGGACAAAGCACGCATGGAGGATTCCGACCTGAAAACG